GTCATTGTTGTAATAAATAATTGTTCAAGAACTGCGTTAAACAAATTTCGCCATTGTTATAATAAATAATTGTTCAAGAACTGCGTTAAACAAATTTCGCCATTGTTATAATAAATAATTGTTCAAGAACTGCGTTAAACAAATTTCGCCATTGTTGTAATAAATAATTGTTCAAGAACTGCGTTAAACAAATTTCGTCACTGTTGTAATAAATAATTGTTCAAGAACTGCGTTAAACAAATTTCGTCATTGTTGTAATAAATAATTGTTCAAGAACTGCGTTAAACAAATTTTGCGTTTCATAAGTAAGGTATAAAGGTGTGACATGTGGAAGGTATGTTTCTAATTTTTACTTTTTAAAAAATGTCGTGTTTAACGTTGATTTCAGGTATTAGTTAAGAATGACATTCAGTTCAGCCATTAAGGAACGTAAAATATGATACAGACTATTTATCTTGGTTGATAAGTAAATTTTATTTACAAGTTCACAGTAAAAATTTACCGAACCGAGATCGATAATAAATACCAGGCAATAATGAACAGTCAACAATCGTTTAGAACGGCAAGCCTGGGGCGCCACCGAATAATCCACCTTGATGGATATTACCAAGTGTGCTGTGAACCAGACCCTGGATATCTTGCTGAAGACCAGCTAAAGCGTGTTTCATCACCGCTGGATTTCCGTACCCATAGGAGGTGCTGAAACCTTTGTTGTGTCCAACCGCGTGACCTACGCCTCCCCCGAGATGACTTGGAGCACCGTGGCCGTACCTGGCTCCGTAACCCATACTGTAGCCTCCTGAGTAAGAATAGGCCTTGCCACCATCAGGGAGCGCTATGTGTACATTTCGGTCGGAACCGTGGTAAGCACCCTCACCGTAGCCACCTGGGAAATGGTGACGTGTCTGAACTGCTACAGCCTTACCGTGTTGGAGCCCCACTGGACTGTTATACCCATAACCACCGCTATTATACCCACCGTAACCGTTGTAACCACCATAAACGTAGCAGGAGAAGAATAAAATAAGGATATTCAACTGGAAAGAAAGAAAGAATAAAAGATGTTGAATGCATCAGGTTAAAATAACAATAAAAGTATATTTTATCCATTTAACACTGGTTTAGTAACAATACCGTAGCTCAGCTTTACTGGAGTTTTTACTGTTTAACACTGGTTTAGTAACAATACCGTAGCTCAACTTTACTGGAGTTTTTACTGTTTAACACTGGTTTAGTAACAATACCGTAGCTCAACTTTACTGGAGTTTTTACTGTTTAACACTGGTTTAGTAACAATACCGTAGCTCAGCTTTACTGGGGTTTTTACTGTTTAACACTGGTTTAGTAACAATACCGTAGCTCTGCTTTATTGGAGTTTCTGCGTGCTAAACACTGGTTTAGTAACAATACCGTAGCTCTGCTTTATTGGAGTTTCTGCGTGTTTAACACTGGTTTAGTAACAGTACCGTAGCTCTGCTTTATTGGAGTTT